ACCACAGAAACTCTCCACTTCCTGACCTGTTCTCTGTGGATTTATGGAATGGTTTTAAATACAACCCTAAAAATAACAGCCTTGCACCTCTTTTTTTTAAAAAAAATATTACCCTCTTGCTTTCAGTTTTTATTGTCCCACACTAAATGGAATAGTCTTCTCAATTTTATAACTGAGATTGGTTTGATTTTTCTACTTGTGCTAATTTAGTCTGGACCGTAGAGGTGAATAGCCAAGTGGGAGAAGTGTGATGCCACTATAAAAACTACTATTGCCTTCAATCCTAGAACCTCACACTGGCCTGGGACTGTCTCATCACCATAACCATACTTGGGAGTAAATTATGTCAGTGACCAGAAACTTACTGCATTTGTACAACAATTAATGGCATATTTTTGTTTTTAATGTAGTGTGTTAGGACAGTGAAGCTATACAAAATTGTCTTCCTGGTGGTTTGGTTCACTTTAACATTTTCCAGTGTTTTTATTAAACAATCAGGAAAAGAATGTGCTCCTGACTCCTGACAATTCAGGGCATTTCAAGCATGACTCACTCTTCAATATCAAGCTTTGATTATTGTCACAGCTACTTAGTTCATCACTGCTGTCAGTGCCTTTGTAATCATCATTCTTCCAGGCCTGGGGGTAGAATCAGACTCTCAGAAGAGGACCTGGGCTATAATCCCCTGGTACTAACCAGAATTATCTCAGTAAATTTAACTTAAACTTCCTACAATGCTTTGGGATAAAATAGGGCTGGCAAGGACAACGGTGCCTGTTTGTAATCAACAGAACTATCTAAAGCCAAGTCTGATTTATTTGGAATTCCAACCATTGAGACAAAGCACAAAACTTACTTATGTATTTAGATAACTTCACCTGAGGCTTACCTTTCACTGCATTTGGTTCACTAAAGTGCAGGCAATAAAAAATAAATAATACTTTTCTTAATCCTTTTTAAGTTATTACAATGTATCTCAGTAAGATAGATATTATATCTTATGAAAATGTTGTACAATTTTGAAGGTAAATTGTTGAAACAAATTATCCTTGGGATATTTAGTATGGCTCCATGTCATCACAACTAATGTCTATCTAGAATTGTTGAGTGGCCTAGACTCAAATTTAGTGAAACGTGCTGTGTAAGTTGTTTCATTATCAAGAGTTGTTAAAATTATCAAAGGAAAAAGGCAGAGTTTGGGGGG